TTGTAATGTCTCCTTTTTCATATATAACTGTTGATTTGGGTCCTCTCTTTTTCTTGGTTAGTCTAGCTAAAGGTTTGTCAATCCTCAGAGTGTGGGTAATCTTTTCTAGTTTTCCTGTTCTTTTTCATTTATTTTCTATAATCATCATTATTTCCTTCCTTCTGCAAATGTTGGGCTCAATTTAGTCTTGTTCCTTAGTGCATAGAATTAGGTTATTTGAGATCTTTTTTTTACTTCTTAATTTAGGCACTTATTGCTATAAACTTCCCTCTTTGAACTGCTTTTGCTCCATCTCATAAATTTTGGTATGTTTTATTTCCATTTTTGTTTGTCTTAAGATACTTTTAATTTCCCCTTTATTCATTGATCCATTGTTCAGGTCCATGTGTTTGTGAATTTTCCAATTTTCATTTTATTTCTAGTTTCATACAGTTGTGGTCAGAGAAGATATTTGTATGATTTCAGTCTTCTTGCTAAGACTTTTTTGTGGTTTAACAAACGGTCTTTCCTAGAAATGTTCCAAGTGCACTTGAGAAGAATGTATATTCTGCTGCTGTTGGATAGAATGTTATATATACGTCTGGCAGTTCATTGTCCCCAACTATTATTCCATTGCTGTTTACTTCTTCTTTTACCTGTTAGTTTTTGCTTTCATATTATGGTACTCTCACTTTGGACACATAGATATTTACAATTGTTATATCTTTTTTGATGCATTGACCTCTTTATTCTTATTTAATGACCTTCTTTGTTTCTTAACATTTTTTAAAGTCTGTTCTGTCTCATAAGTACAGTTATCTGTGCTTTTTTGGAGTTGCCATTTGCTGAAATATTGTCATCCCTTCACTCTCAGTGTGTGTGTGTATCCTTAAGAATAAAGTTAGTTTCTCACAGGCAGCATATCACTGGGTCTTGTTTTAATCATTCAGCCATTCTGTGTCTTTTGAAGAACTTACATTTATGTTTAAAGTAATTATTGATAAGTAATAACTTACTGTTGTCATTTTAAAATTTGTTTTCTGGTTTTGCAGATCCACTGTTGCCTGTTTATTATCCTGTTGTCTTTGTGTTTTGATGTCCTGTGGTATTTGACTTCTTTATCATGTTCTTTTGCGTAATTACTACAGGTTTTTCTCTTGAGGTTACATAAAATATCTTGAAATTTTAACACGTTATTTTAAATTAATAACTTCAATAGAATTCCTAAGCTTTACACTTTTACTTCTCCCTCACATTTTAGGTTACTGATGTTACAATTTACGTATTTTTAGATGATGTAATTAATATGATATTATAGTTATGATTTTTACATTTGTTTTTTAACTATTAAACTAGATGTGGTAAGGTGGTGCTTAATTCACTTACCAATTAGACTTTGACTACATATTTACCATTACCTGTGTTTTATACTACCTCATGTTTTTATGATGTTAATTAGCATCCTTTTATTTCCACTCAAAGAATTCCCCAAGCATTTCTTGTAAGGCAGGTGATGAATTCCCTCAGCTTTTGTTTATTGGGGAAAGTCTTTATCCCTCCTCCTTCGTTTCTGAAGGGCAGCTCCAATGGGTATAGTATTCTCGGTTGACGGTTTTGGGGTTTTTTTCTTCTCTCAATATTTTGAATATGTTATCCCATTCTCTTCTGGCCTGAAGAGTTTGTTGAGAAATCTACCAATAGTTTTATGAGGGTTCTCTTGAATGAAACCTCTCTCCTGTTGCTGCTTTAAATATTATTTGTCTGACTTTTGATGGTTTAATTATGTGTTGTGGTGTAACCCTATTTGAGTTTAACCTACCTGGGGTGTTTTAGTCCTCTTAGACCTGGATGTCTTTTTCTCTTCCCAGGTTTGGGGAGTTTTCAGCCATTGTTGCTTTAATTATATTTTCTCTTCCCTTTTTCTTTTCCTTCTGGAATTTCCATAACGCAAATATTATTTCTTTTCATTGTGCCCCATAAGTCCCATCTTCCTGGTCTCCGACTCTTCTGCATGGCTGAATCTGCTTCTGAAGTTCTCTATTAAATTCTTCAGCTCAGTTATTATATTTTTCAGTGCTAGGATTTCACTGTTTTTGCCCAATGGTTTCTTTTTTGAACTTGTTTTCTTCATGAATTGTTTTCCTTATTTTGTTTGTGTCAGAGTTTGTGTTTTTGTAGTTCATTGAAATTCTTTAACAGAATTATTCTGTATTTTTTCCTGAGAATTCATAGATCTCTGTGTTCGTTAGGGTGTTATTAATGCTTTATTAATTTCCTTTGGTGGTATCATATTTACCTGATTTTTCATTATCCTTAATTCTTTATGTGGTGTCCATGCATGTGAATAATTCATCTCCTCTTCCACAGTATGCAGGTTCACTTTGGCAGAGGCAGTCCTTCAATATTCAGCTCAGTTTGGGCTTTCTGGATGGGTTTGCTGGTAATGTCTCTCGGCAGGTGGGGCCTGCTCTTAGGGTGTATTTTTGGACAAGGCAACTGTTTGAGCTCTGTTGTCCGGGGTGGAGGGGGGGCACTGACTGAGAAAAGTTGGATGAGACTGCTGGCTTGGTAGGAAGGGCTCTTAAGTTGCCTAGGTTCTCTGGTCAGGTTTACTAGATAATCAGGACTGAGTATTATCCTCAGAAGCAGGTAGGGCTTTGAATTAGCTTTCCTACCTTGGCAGGGCCATAGGTTGGGACCCAGGATCTGCATGGCTTGTTGTTTGGGGATTCAAATTGGTTAAGAGTATACACTGAATTCCCTGGCCAGGTGAGGCCACTGGTTTGGATCTGCAGATGGGGAAAGCCACAGGGTATACTCTCCCTTCAAGACCACTGTAAGCATGGTTATTGGAGGGTCCATGCAGCTTCTTATGTGTTCTGGCTGGGTGAGCTGAAGGCCATATTCAGCAGTGAGTGGGACTATGAATTTACTTCCCTGCCTAGTGCAGCAGAAGTATCTCCAAGACCACTCAGGCTCTTTATTTAGTAGTTGACTCAAGCTGACCTATGCCTCAAGTTCCTTGGCTGAACAGAGGTACTGGCTTTATTCTGGGAACAATCACTTATGCAATTCCATATCTTGGCTTGAGCACTACTGGATTACGAAGCAGCTTCTAGGTTCTAGCCAGCCCTTCCATCAGATAGGGCCTAGGGCCATGCTCCTACCTGGGCGGAACTAGGAGGGCCCACTTCAGCTAACTCCCAAATTTTCCCAAATGTGCTTTTTGTCAGGAGGGGGAAAGGAGCCATGCTCTGCAGAAGGTGGGGCTCTGACTCATCCTTTCTCTGTGGGCATGGGAAGACCAGACTCTAGGGCCTGCAAAACTCATTTGAAGACCCAAATCAAGAGACCTGCATGATGCTATTTTCCCAAGTGAGACTGCACCACCGACTTGATTCTGCAGAAGAGCAAAGCTGCTGGGTACTGCTTGGTTTCTGTGGGAAGGAGATCTGTCTGCAGAGATCCAAGTGCTAGCTATTGGATAGCCCTTCCCCCCTTTTCGGCAGTCAAATTCCCAGTGGTGGAGCCCCGCAGGTTCTTCTGTGACCCCCAGGAGTAAAACCAGAGTATATGGGCTCCCATGAAGCGACCCACAATGCTGGAGGTGCTGGATGTCACCCCGGGCTCTTTTCCCACGGGAGGAACTGTAGGCTCAGGGGACACCTCTCTGCATGGTGCTGTGTGGGCCTGGGGGAGGGGCAGTGCAGTCAGCCTGATGCATTCCTCTTACCTTTCTACTGCAGCTGTTGGAGCAGGAGGTCACTGCAGCCTCACTCCCATGTTCTAAGATTCTCTCAGTGGTGTTTTGTCCATGACAGTTGTTAGTTCTTTTTGTGAGGGGGAATGAAATCAGGAATAACCTATGTCACCATCTTGGTGACATCACTCTGACTGTGTCCTTGGAATAGCCTCAATGGCAGGCAGAAAACTCGTGTGTGTTCAAGGTGAACCTGATTTCTAAATACTGTGAAGTCACATCTAAGAAGTATAATTATTAAAGCTGTGAGTCATAACCCTTTTGGCGACACATTCTTTTTGTGAATGGGATTAAACCTATGGAACCTAGAAAAGGGAGGGATGCTAGGTGAGAGGAATATTTTGCATTTGAAAGCACAGGCCCACTGCTGTGAGATGAGTACTTTCAAGAGTTTTGTCAAACTTTTTGTCAAAAGTTTCCTCAGAGTGCTGTACACACATGGAGACTATTGAAGAGGGGGGACAGTCCATCTTCCAGTCCTCCTTCACCAGCCCCACCTCTCTCCATTTTGAATGTAAGCTTAGGGAGGGCAAGGGTTTATGTTTCACTCATTGCTGTTCCTAGAACAGCTCCTGGTACTTACTAAGCCCTAATGAGTGAGTGAATGGATGATAATTTAATATTGGGTTCCCAGGTAAGATTTCAGTTATTAAACGAACTCTCGTGCTAGAAACAATGTTTAAGAACCAATTCCAATGGAGAGATTTCTGGGTACGTAGTGAGTGGTTAGGTTTTCTTTGGAGATTTAGACAAATCTCAGGATTAGTAACACGGTTATCAATCCTGTTCAAGAATGAGTTCAGACAGAACCTCAGGGCAAGGCACAGTGAGCACTCAGTGTGGCAGCACAGCAGTCAGTCTCTGAAATGCGAACCTGGGTAGAGAAGCCCGGCATCCCTTTGACAAGAGCTCCTCTGCTGTTGGACAGGGCTCTCAAAGCGGACACACATTGACCCTTTATAAAAGAATAAAACCTGCTCCATAATATTATTCTTTCTGTATGTACCTATGGTGGCCATAATAACAATGATTGATTACTGGTCCTGGATTCACTGGCTAAAATACAGTGTCTTAGCTTCTGGGTGAAACGAAGATGTCAACACAAAACAATGGGACCGAAAGCACATGCTCAGTTCCAGTGCAGAAACATCTTTCAGTTGTGCCGAAAATAGCCACATAAAAACAAGTGTTTTCTTAGAAAACAAAGAGAGGCATAGGATTTGTGTAAAGACATTTAAAAAAAGGCATTTCATCTAGCAAGGGCAATACAAAGGGGTTATATAAATTTATTTTTCATATAACAATTGATTAGTTTAGAAAAATTCCCATTTTCAATGTTTAATTCCATCTTTAAAAAAAAAAAAATCACTAAGGACAAAAACCCACACAAAAATACAATCTGTATCTGTTCTATATTTACAGATAATTGGTCACTATTAAGGCACAGATTGATTAAAAGCTACCATTTATTCAAATAATCCAATTATTTTGTGCATCATATAACACTGACAACTGTGTACTGTAGTGTCATATTCCCTTCCTTGTATCAAGAGAAAGTGAGAAAAGTAATTTCCAGTGTTTTTATTTATTTTTAACCACCCTATTTAATCTAGTTTAATTGGGACAGTTTTCCCTTTGGCGTAAAGCACTGTTCTTAAAACCTCCATCGGCTTAATACTGTAAATTCATTCCATCTTCCTCATGTTGCAAATGCACGGTAGAAGGCCGGGAAAAGAGCTCCCAATGCTTTTTATTTGGGAAAGTCTTATTAAAGAAATATTAAAATTTAGAGCACTGAGTGGTTGAACAGGAGACAAATCTGGAATTCTTGTGCTGAATGTGTAGCATGATGTGTTTGTACAACCACAAAAGATGAAGAGGTCCACGTGACGACGTGTGACATGTGCACAGGATGATTCCATTGTACTTGCCAAGGAAGCCACACATCCTTAAGCAGGTACGGTTTAATTTAGGAATGGGCATCCCCTTAGTGCCCCTATAATTGATCATTTTATGACAGGTCCATCATCTATGCCTTCAAAGTAACCAATACCATTTTTTAAAGTGAAAATTTTTCTGTGTGCAAAATTTCAATTCTTGTTCTTTCATAGTAAGACTTAGCCATGGAAAAATGTCAGGCAAGTATTTCTGATTCTGCATTTGTATGAAAGTCCCCAATTGTTATGCATGTTTAATGCCTTTTGCTAAGAGCATGCAACAGTGGTTTATGTCCATGTAGAAATCTTGAATAATGAACATAAATAAATCATTACAGTACAGGTAATTCACAACATTTCCCATGGGAAAGTTTTCCAACAAATTAATACACTTGGAAATATATTGCTTTGAAAAAAGAGAGGCACTTAGTGATGTTCTTCATGAATTGAAAACCCTTCATAAATCCACAATAAGATGTCTGAAAAGACCTAGGAAACAATGTTGCCTGATTTCTTGGACTTTCACAGTATATGATTGTAACAATGAGTCTGGCCACTTAGAAAATAGTCATTTTTTCCCCTCACTTTACAAACTGTCACCCTGGAGACTTAAATAAAGCCTTTCTGTTCTCAGCAAACGGAAGTCTACTTCAAGCAGACGTATATGGTTTAAGGAAAGCCCTTTGACCATATGGAGCACAGCTAATGTGTACATGGTAAGAACAGTAATCTATCTTTCCTCCTAATGGCAACAGTGCTGTCTTGTCAGATGATTATTTGTCTTTTTTAAATAAAGTGACAATCTAGGGCTCCAGTTATTGAATGCCGTCCATTCTCTACCATAAATCTCTAGTAGATATCAATTTAATCAATTATGTACTGTATGCTTATAATATCTAAAAATAAAAAGTTTGATATAAATAAGTGTCCTTTAGTGGCAGTATACTAAAAATAGCCCTTTGCCTTTAGACAACCATTAAAATCATTTTAGCAATATAGGCAGCAGCTAAATATGATAACTGCAAAGGGTTAATATTGCAAAGTCCATTTGGTCTTTCTTTGCACCTGTTACAGTGAACTAGGTTCTCTGCTAATTGTTTCTAGGATGCTGACATCAACGAGCAGAACTGGTCCAGAACCAAGTGGAGTCACTTACATTTCCCAAAGTCACAGGATACTCTGCACAAAGACTAATAATCCAGTACCATTTCAAATACAAGTTTAACGCAGTCAGAAAAATGTGACTAAATCTGATTTGTACCATTACATCAGGTGACATAAAAATGGAGAGAAAGAGAGATCATTTCCACAGGACAAGAAATTAGAAAGTGTAAAGTGCTGGAAGACCTCAATAATTATTTTAAAGCAGTACCAGAAAATCCCACTTTGATTACTTTTTTAAAAAATCCCCAAATACCAAAACAAAACAAGCAAACAATAACTTCAATGTTTTCTGGCATCCCAGATGTCAAATCATCCTTCATTTTAAGTAAAAAAAACAAAAAACAAAAAAAAAACCAAAACAAAAAAAATCAGTGCATATGTTATATAGGTAAATAAAAACAGGAAATAAAGCCCTACCCTCATATTGCAAATTCTGTCCAATTACCGTTTTTTTTAAAAAAAAGTAATCCACATGTGGTGTTCTGAATGATGGCGCAGAACATCTCTCTTTTCTTCCTTTTTGGCACAAAATTCAGGTGCGGATAAGATGCTTTGGTCCTGATACCAGACCCCGGAGTGCTAAGGACGGTGCGCGGGGCAGGGGCCCGCTACCAGCGGCCGCTGACGCTCGCAATGTCCGCGTGGTACTGGCGGGGCAGCCGCCCGCTCGCGCCGCCTTCCAGGAAAGAGGTGCGTGCGCCCGGCGGTTCGAAAAGCTTTCTTCGGTTTTTATTGAGCTCTAGAGAGAGAGGGAGAGAGAAGTGTTAGCAGCTCGGTGGAGAACCCCATAACCTACGGGACATGGAGGCTTGGGGGACAGGAGGAGTCACGTGTGGTAGCAAAGGAGAACCTTTCGTTGATGCCAGGACGTTTCTGAAATGCTAGGACGTTGGTAGCTGAGAGAGCCAAGGACAACAAATAGTTGTTACTGCCGTTTGTAAACTATCTGGGGGATGCGCCGCTCTCAGAACCCTCTGAACTCTGCCTACGCAACTTAAACAGTGTGACTGTCCCAGATGTCACTGCGGAGGCAAAGGGAGGGCGCCATCCCAGCTGGCGAAAGGCACAGGAAAGGATGTATTTCCAGTGGCACAGAAGGTTATTACAGCTGCTGAACTCACCCATGTCAAACAGAGCAATCATTAAATTGTTCACGTCAGACATGAAAAGACCACACGTCTAAACAGGAGGCCGGGAGCACAGTGAGGTGCTGGCCCCCAGCCCTGGGCTCCACCGACTCGTGGTCCTGCGCTCCGTGAGTCCGAAGGAGCTATGTGAGCCTATCAGCAGGTTTCCCTGAACAAAATTTTAACTTAATAAAAACAGCAACCATTTAGGAAATAAGTACAGTTGGAAACAACCAATACTTGAATCTAAAATTTCAGGAAAAATCCAAGATGCTCAATTTTAAAGAAACCAGAGCACTTAGAAAACAGTATTTCTCCAACTAAAAATGATTAACCAGAAAGGGAAAAAGTTAACTGAAGCAGCCTACCTCATTTATGACTGTGCAGCCAGTCCATTCCCATGTCCCCACCCCAACACACACACATACATACAAAAATTCTCAAATCAACCAGTGGAACTCTTGCTGAACTCATACAAGGGAACAAAGCTGTCAGGCCCTGGAAATTAGGGTTCTGATAGCTGCCAAATGCAAATATCTTCAAATGTATTCAATTAAAATAGAGGGGTTATATACTTAATGTGCTTAAACTGTCTTCTTAGGGGGGCAGGGTGGAGCCAGTAGTGACTGAGCACCTTACATTGGCACAGTACTCAGTACTTTTTCACCTCACACAGATGCCCTGCCCTTTTGAATTCTGAAGTTGCACTGCAAGCTGTGGTCTGCTGCAGAAATGCTGAGACTGAGGACACAGACCCATGCTGCACGAGGTCACAGGTGGCCAAAGAGAGCCATATGGCCAGAAGTGCTCCGGTCTCCCGAGTTCTGGAAAATGGACCAACCCTAACATTTCACCTCACTGCCTTCCAAAACGTAAGTGTCTGCCCCACAGGTGATGCAAGAATGGAGACACCTCTTTCTTGTTCACATTTAGGTCTCAGGGCAAAAGAAAAATTTTTGTTCTATTTAAGTCCGCCATAAGGGGTAGATAATATTACCATTCTCCATTTTATAGATAAGAAAGTTGAGTTTTAAAAATAGTCTAAATAAGTTGTCCACACAGCAGTTAGGTGACAAGCTGTGGCCCTGCCTGACAAAAAGGTCCACACCTTGGGCTGCAGGGATTCATCCACTGGTGGAGAAGACCAACCAAACCATCAGGAACATGAATTTGAGAAATTGGTAGCTCCACGTATGCCAGAGAGCAGTGCTTTACTTCACAGTTCACTGTACCAATATTTTTAAAATAGAAAAGTGTAGCTTAAAAACCTTAAAGAAGCAAGGAAGATACCTTTACAAGCAAAAGACACATGCAGGCATGCTTATAGATGGCTACTGTTCCAAGTGCCCGCAGAAAAGCAGAAGCTATGGCATTCCTAGTAAAGGTTGAAACACATTTATCTTGTTTAAAAAAAACAGACAACAGAAATCAAGATGGAATTTAATATATTTAAAGGCAATCGTAGGAGAGTTAAGAATAAATGAATCCTCAAGTACACAGCCTGGAGACAGTTTTATCTACAAGTTAACACACTTTGGCCTTCATTTTCTCATGGGGGAAAAACCCACACATCAGGACATACATTCCCATACTGTACTCCCCTATCACATAGAACATGTCCAACCGAGCACGTGAAAACAATTGGGCCAGTGAAGAAGACAACGTTTTTAATAGACATTTAACACTTTATTCTGAAAGGTCGTATCAACTAGATTTTGAAAGAATAAAATGATCATGAAGTCGGCCATTCCCTAAAGAGTGTAATTTCTAAGAGATTTCCAAACTCGAAGCACAGAGATAAACTGTCCGGAGAGATTAGCAAGGATCAGGTCCTACTGAAGAGACTTCAGCTTTTGTTGCTGTTTTTTAAATTACAAACTCGCTCCTCTGATTTTTGTTTTGTTTTCAGTAGGCCTAAGGGATAATTTGGGAAAATACCAACCTTTTTCTTTGAAATTCCAAGGTTCACACAATCCTGGCAGCTCTCAGGATCTTGTTGCGGATCTGAACAGAGTCACAAACTAAAAGAATAGGTCGGGAAATGTTAGATCTACCTGAGGCCGTGGCGGGAAGCCTGTCAACAGGACACTAACTTCCTTTCGGCCCTGTACATTTAGTTAACTACTTACTAAATACTCTGAGAAAAGTTAAAATTTTCAAAAGATCATGGATTTGGAAAAAAATCATTTTTTCTCTGGTCCATTTCTACAAGAGATAAATTTCATCTCCTATTACACTAAAATACATGCCTTCTGGCCCAAAATTAAAAACAGAACCAAGCCTTACACTGAAGGAACTCTGATTGCAAGTTAAAATAAAACTCCACAAAATTTTAAAAAGGAATTATAACCAAACTCTGTAACCACAAGACCAATGTAAGTCCAGGCTGCCCAGCTATCCTGCATCTACCTGGAAATGGGATGTTCCGAGACTAAAAATGAATGTGTCTGTTATCAGATGAGCTGAACTAAAAAAGAGAAGCTTTTTGATAAGGGCTTCTCAATAAAAACTTACTTGCAGAGAAAACAATTTACCAGGTTCAAACAAATGCACTCAACAAAGTAAGGTGAAATCATTCCTAAAATAATCAAATACATCCTGCCATGCAGAGCATTTGTAAGGCACCACAGGCAAATTCTAATTCCCTTTAAAAGCAAGGACCTGTGAACCCCACGGAGAGAGGCCTGCCACAGAAGTATATAACCTCAACAGAACCACACTTAAGAGGATGATTGGAGAAAAAAAAATTTTTTTTAAGAGGATTCAAAATCCCTGCTGTTTCCTACTCTACTCCCCCAAACCCACCTGGAAAACATCACAAATGTGTTCCAAGTAAAGATGCTAACAATCCATCTGGAACCTGTGAAGGTATTTAGAGAGATCTGCTTGTTGCTGGAAGCCTCACAGAGTGTGGAATTGGGTTGGTGCACAGAGAACGAACTTAACTTTCATTACACTGTCACCGACATCCCATGACTCTCTAGAGAAAGATTATGGAGTCTGGAACACACACTTCTATAAACGTGTTGGCCCACAGGCATATTTTAATAACATAAGCGTGGTGATTGTGTGAGAATCAAATTTCAGGTAGTATAAATTTCATTTGCAAATTAATAAAGAATGTGAAAACATATAAAGTTAATGTAGTTCTAGGAATATCACTGAGGGTTGAGCTTTAGGGTAAACAAGTTAAAAAAACACACAAACTATCCTATTGCCAAAGACAGTAAAAAAGACAAAAACAAAGGGGCCCCTGCTATTCACATATACTGTAAAAACTGATGCTACACCACGTGGGAGGACAGACATAAAAATAGAAGGTAACCTCACATGATCATCTATCCCAACCATCTTCATGGTCTGTAAACTCGCCCAAGGACTCGTGAGTTGGCAGAGGCAGAGCCCAAATCTCCTTGTTTGAATACAGTGTTCTTTGCACCATATCAAGCTGATCTTACCAGCAAAGAAGAAAAAGCATCTGCCCTGTGGAGCTCCCTTTATGCAGCCGCTTGGGCACACAGAATGGAGAAGACTTCTCCACCTGATGTGTGCAGAACCGCATTTATCCCCCGAGGAAACCAACAGGCTGCTCAATGGCTGAATTTCCACCCCTATTTCAAAGCTGCTCTGCTTATGTCTGCTTCAGGTGTTAGGTCTATGGTAAGATTTCCTGTGGGGAAGTGGGTAGGGGGTGTAATCTGCTGCTAAAACAAAATGGAAAACCACTGAGTTTTAAATTTCATTTGCTGCTCTGATTAGTGAATGCTACTTGGAAAGGATTTTCACCAGGTGGATGCTACTGCTGGCCTCAGAAAGGCACAGCCTGCAACTTCAGTGTTCTGAAAAAGCAAAGCCATTTCCTCACCACACCTGACCCTTAGCGTCTATCCTTTTGGGAGACTGGCACACATAAATCTTACACTCATGAACTTCATCAGAAAGTTTTCAAAAAGTAACCCTAATTTCGGGCCCCCAATTTCTTCCTCATATTTCTCTAAAAACCTTTTGAAGGTACATTGTTATGTATCTGCCAGCTCCTGAGTCATCTGGCTCAATTTCTTTCAAATAGGAGGTACCCAGTAAATATGTATAGAGCATTTTGTAATACACACAATATGAAACCAGTGCACACAGAAGGCAGTCTGGGAGACAGACAACATCATTTTCCTCCATTCTGTGGCTACTTTCAGGATCCTACACCCTTCTGGGACTCTCAAATTCTATTAAAATTTTAGGAGAAATTAAAAGCATTAAAACAAGTAATACTGCCAGGTTCCAGCTATCCCAAGGAGCATTCTTTATTCCTCTGGTGCAATGACCCCTGTTGGTAACAAGGACACATGCACTTGGGACATGACAGCCAATCCAGAATAATTACTCATTAACCCAATGAGTATTGCTTAACCACAAAAAAAGAGAATTACACTGCTCCCCCAGTCTCACGTTCTACAAAGGGCAATTTTGGTTAGATCTTTCTGAAGGAATCTGTTTTAAGGAATGACATTGTCATGCAAGGTTTTCAGGCAATGTCTTGATGAAGGGGAGGGGCGGTGTTCATCTGTCACAGTGTTAGCGGGAAAACACTCTGAAACCGCAACCACCAAGGTGCTGGCGTAGTAGGCAAGTGGTAAATGGGTAGAACCAGCCCCTCCGGCTGAGGTTATTCAGATTTCAAAATATGAGTATGAGCACTTATATTCACCTGAGATGGCAAGCAGCATTTTCCTCCTGGCACCAAAAGTAGTAATTCCTAGCTCCTTCAGATCCTGGTCTGTGAGAGTGAGGAATGTCTGAAGATCGATCTGCGGGTGAAAAAGTAATCTGTAACCAATACAAGTATTTATTTTCTGCCTCACGGTAGGTTCAACTCATTGTTACACCTATTTTATTAATTATGCTCTGCTTACTTCCAAAAAAGAACAATGGTGTCACAAACTTAAGGCAATGAAACAAAAGTGATTCTTTTAGCAGCAGACTTAGTCTAAGCCAGTGATTTACCACCCTTGAGATAAAAACTTAGGTATGAGCATCCTGGCAGCCCGGACAAAAAGGGAAATACAAATTGTACTTTTGTGTGTGTGTGAACTGATAAAAGGAAGAACACATACCTGTCCAGGCGAGAGAAAATATTTCTTAGCTTTGAATTCTCAATTGGTTAAGTATATCTCTATAAAAAGAAACTAGATGGTATCTTCTACTGTGTTCTACATATGAATGATAGAATTCCCAGACTACATCCGACTCATGACTCACTTGGTTGAGCCTGGCAGACTGTCTCTGAAAGTGGCACACAAGAGTGTTTCCAGGAACAGTATAATTGTACTCTTTGGCATCAGCAGCAAAGTGTGGAGGGCAGTTGCCCAAGGATCTCACCCTTCCTCTGAAGACAGTGTGGAAGAACAGAAAGGCAATGGGCTCTGAAGCCAGAGATGAGTTCCCGTTCTGACTCTCACAAGACTTCTGTGTGTACATAGGTTGATTATAGTGTAGCTTGCAGTGCTGTTGTGGGCATTAAATATGATTGTAGATATAAAGCAATGGGCTCAACAAGGGGATAAAATAATGGGCAGCTATGGCTGGTAATAATGTATATGGACATATCTGGGAAAGTTGCTAAATAATCCTCACAAGGTTAGTTAATGGGTGGTTCTTATTAAGTCATTATCTGAATATTAGAAAATATCCTAAATGAAGGAAGCAGTACCAAATTTCAACACATCTGAAAATAGCAATATATGCTTTTCATTCAATTATAAGAAATTAATCTGAAATTTTCTGTTTTGATTTAGAAGTTACATCCAGATCTTGTAAAACCTTTTCATTTATCATTCATCACAGGTCTAAAGCTATGTTTTTAGAGATTCTATTTAATGGAGACTCTATTTTAGGCATCCTCAAATTCTTCTTAAGGGGCCAGACAGTAAATATTTTAGGCTTTGTGGGCCATATTGTCTCTGTTGCAACTACTCAGCTCTGCCGTTTGAGCTCGAAAGCAACCACAGACAATATGTAAATGAATAAGTGTAGCTGTGTTCCAATAAAACTATTTACAAAATCAGGTAGCAGATCTGCAGGCTGTAGTTTGCTGACCCCTGCTCTAGTTAATAAATATAAGATAAAGCCACCCTGGCTTTATATTATCATATTTTCTTCCTTTTTGAATTAAGTAGATAAAAAGTACCTATAATAAATTTATTTCTATGCTTCTTCAAATAGAAAATAATATAGATTAAAAAGAAACCCATAATATTATTGAATAATATCTATGCTTCTTCAAATAGAAAATAATATAGATTAAAAAGAAACCCATAATATTATTGAATAATATCTAATCTCTTACTTAGAGACCTTCTGTTTCTGGACAAGTTAAAATACCTCTGCCCTTGAACTTCTCAATCAGCCACCCTCATCTAACCAGCAGGACTAAATAAAATACTACATAAAAGCAATTCCTTAATGCACTGATGATGAAAATGTTACTCAACTTACAAAAACCTTGGTTAAATGAACACTAATTTAGATGTAGGAAAAAGAAACCAAAATTAATACCGGGGAGTCCAATATACATATAATAACCTTTTATTGGTATAAAAAACAAAAAAGTTCAATCAAATTTAAGTTATGGAGCCTTGGGCAATACCTTAAGTTTATGATACAGAGTACCTAACAAATTCTAGATTCTTCATTCACTAATACATATCTGAGAATTATTGACTTAATTACTTTATCTTAAAGAACACCTACAGTAAACCAGTATCAAGCTCGAATCAAATAGATGCATTTCTAGAAGTGCTCTAACTCTGTTGCATTGGGTTAGCTGTGTCCTGGTTCAATGACAACATTATCAGAAAGAATCACGTTCTATTCTTTACGCCAGCGCATAATAGCCATGGCTGACCAGTTAGACCAAAATCCACAGTGGGGATGGTTCAGAAGACATCTTATTTCTGCCTCAGTTTAGACAAAACCCAAACATTAAATTAATGAACAAATGACTGGTCAGTCTCTGTGACTGCCACCTGCTAAGATGCCCCTTTATAGTCATTCTGGAAATTACTTCACCCCTTTACCATGTATGGTCCTATTTATTTATTCTTATATTTTTCTACTTATTTTTTGCCTAAAATATTTTCTAGTAATTTGTTGAATAAGAATCCATGGGAAACTTTTAACAGGAGAAAATCAAATTTAATTACATACATAAAAATATGAGACTCACAGGGAGTCATGCGATTGAAGCTTATATGCCATCCTGAGCTAAGGAGAAATAGGGTCGGAAATAAATTTTTGAGACCCTTATATGTGTTAAAATGCCTATATATTCCTCACATCTGACAAAGTTGATATGTTATGGGATTCTTGTTTGAAAATACATAATTCCATTTACAAAAATTATAGGAAATGTAAACTAGTGTATAATGACAGAAAGCAGATGAATTGTTGCGACAATGCACAGAAGAACTGAACTAGCAAGGGACAGGAAAGAATCTGCGGTGTGTGATCGCTATGTTCTTTATCTTGGTTGTGGTGACATAGCCACTGCTGCACATATATGTCAAAAGTTACCAATGTCTACCTTTAAATATGTGCAGTTTATTGTATGTCAGCTGTATCTTAAAAAAATATTAACATATATAAAGAATACGTTATATTCTGTGAGAAAACACTTCAGTAACATGACTAGGATGGGTCTGAAACAACCACACATTTATTTAAGATACCGTTATGTAAGTGCCACAAATAAAGATAACACATTAAAGCATGGAATCGTATTCAATACAGACCTGTAGCTGACCTTTTGACCTTATGAACCAATACACTGTTTAGCTAAAACTGGTGAAGGTGTTTTTGTGAACACCATTTTCTGTGTTTCTACTATCCCATGTTTATTAGTTGTACTAAATAAACAGGAAATGAGATCATGTTTTTCTTAGCAGCCAAAACAAGCTATGAGCCTTGAATAAATGCTCAGCGAAAGCAGTCATAGGTCAGTGAGTGATTTCAATCCAGAAGTCGCCATACACAGAACCCAAACAAAGATTCAGGGGAAAAGTGAATAAATAATGACTGACCTCTTGTTGCTGGAAGACGTCTGTGTATTTGCCCAGACCCAGTTTGCTGAAGAGCTCGGGGAGGTCAGAGCCTTTGAAAGAGCTGTTTAGGTTACAGCCGTTGCTTCCTGTCAGCGAGGAAATGCAGTCCATGTAATTGCTACTGCTGAGATAGTGTTCCGCTGAAGGGCAAACAGAGACAGGCTTGAAGTGCAAATGCCCAGAGAGAACAAGGTTTAATTAAAAGTTTTAGTCCCTCAGATATTTCAACTTCATTGTCAGGATGAATAGAACAGTCGCTGCAGCAACAGAGCAATCCTTTACGGAGTGCAACACTGGCTTTTCATTAACGAAATGCTGGTTATTGCTTTCAGAGAGGCTCTTGCCATTTAAAAGGTTACACTTGGGAGGCAGCAATTCAGCAACAATGCCTCTGCAGTTAATAATCATTAATTTTCTCACGGAGCTTTCAGAAACACTGGCTCTTTATAATTGACTGCATGTGAATTAAATGAGCAACTGGGAGAGGAGGATCCTTAGGACACAATTAAGGTATGGAAAGTTAATGGAAGTCCAGGCTCCTTTTGGATGGCAGGATGGCTCTGTCTCCACTTCTGCGCTCACCTGCAGTCAAAGGAATTCTAAGATGTTGCACCACATAAATCTCCTCTACAAAAATATAATTGGGCCATAAGCTCATAAAATAGAGTGCTTCCAAAATCAAGAGCATCATGAAGTGAGATAAGAATGATGCTGGAGTTCTCGGATTTAATTTATGATGGAAACAAATCTGCCTTTTGAGAAAAATTCTAAGACAGCAATGCTGAGCTTTGCCTTGGCTCTGTGGCTGATTTAATAGGCAAAGATTTCTCCACTCTGTCTGTGGTTCTCAGGCCCAGTGACATGCACAGCTGAGCGATGGACTGGTGAGCTATGCCAAGTACTTGACCAAATATTTAAACACTCTTCAAGATCTGTTTTGGATATGCTAGCAGAGCTGTGCAGCCATTCCTACATCCCGTACCAACAACTGGCTCTTGTCCATGTGGGAATTCAATCCTCTTACACCAAAGATGAGCTTCACAAGGGATTCCCAGGGAGAGGAAGGAGGCCACTCGCCTAGCCAGTCAGATCCATCTAAGCTCCTCTGGGATCAGTGCATTCACCAAGTCTAAAAATCTTGTTCTGCACTGTTTTGGGTGCAACTAAGTACTTTCTTCAGTTGTCCTCAATTGGGAGATGAAAAGTCCTTTATATATCTCAAGTGGAAGGAATCTTCTTGATAAGGGTTCTCTTTCTCTTAAAAAGATATTTTTTTATCTCTTGTAGTGAGAACATGTACAAGAAAGGATCCAGGACCAAGCCCTAAAGGCCTTCAGCCCTGGACCACTCCACCATTTGAAGGTAAGGCCCCAGTGTCATCAAAAAAAAGACTGAGACGGAGTGACCAGTGAGGTACTGGCTCAAGGGTGATGCAAAGCAGAATATGATGGGCACACTGGAGTGGCGAATGGACTTCACAACATGGCAGGCTGACCATGTAATTTATTGTCCAAATGATTTACTATCAAAAAAGTAAATATAAGTGGGAGTTATTGAGAGTTAACACTGCAACTGTTATAAATAGGGATGCCTGGGGAAAATCACTGACAAGGGTGTCAAAAAAATTATTCAAAACTGTGCTGTTCAGTATGGTAGCCATTGCCCATATGTGACTATTGGCAATTAAAATGTTTTATAAGTGTGAAATACACATGAGATTTTAAAGACTTAGTACAAAAAAGAATGTAAAATATTGCAAAAAATGTCTTTATATAGATTACATGGTTAAAGAATATTTGCATATTTGGGTTAAGCAAATACATTAATAAAATTAGAAAAAAACAGATGTGCTAAAATAAAGTATTCTTAGTAATATTTATTAATGTACATAACTTTCTTTACATATCTTAATTACTTAGAGATTTTGTATTCTCTCTTAAACTCCCTAGTCTCTTAAAGCATCTGACAAAAGAAAAACAACAGTGCTTCTTCAATGGTTCCTTTTCATTGATGAAAATGTAGGGACATTTTGTCCCTAATCCTAAACTTCAGTGCAGCTAGTTTACAGTCGATTTTAATTACCCAGCATTCAGTGAAGGGGAAGGAGATACAGACAGAAAAGGAGAGGCACAGAACTAATTTATACTGGGCTACGGAACAGAGATCGCTCCCAGCCCTAGACCTGCTCTGGGTACCAGCCCACCTCAGCTCCATCTCCATCTCCTGTCAACAGTGGAGGATCCAGCTCCAACAGATGGGAAGTGTCCCAGCTACTGCAGACAGTACGCTCGGGAATGAACGAGTTGACTGGGCTCTCTTACTTAGACTGGGCTGACACCACAATGGTCTTTTCAAATCTGAGACTCCTGACAGCATGACCAACTGACTCCCTTGAGTGTCTAAGATGCTCTTTTAGAATGCCTTTCTTTAAGGAGTCTTCAAATACTCCAAGCTATGTGTTTCAGGACTCCAAACTTGTCCAAAACCCTGGAAAAGGGCATTTATTGTGATTACTATTTTCAATCCTTGTCTGTTTACCTTTTTATACAGTCCAGAAAAGTGGGTGCTGTTACAAAACCAGTGGACTCATGCTGAGTTAACCAAATCTGTTCAAAGCCAGAACCCTTATGCTTTAAACATAAATTAAATTTATGTCCATTCATCTACATCTTGTTGATTTAAAATATCAAATGCTGCTTTTCACCTTAAGTAGCTACCCACTGAGCAGACTTTCTTCTCATGTCCAAGATGCTAATTTGATCACATTCTGCTCAACATCTTCATGTCCCTGTCTTTGTCTGATGGGAAAAAGCATTTTCTGAATGTATGTGTGTGCATGATGCATTCATACAATAAGCATTTACTGAATACCTATTAGGTGTCACACACTGTTAGATATCTGGGAAGAAATAACAAAGCACAGCCCGACAGAATGCCTGGCATGTGTGCATTTAAGTGTGTGCTGAATGAATAAATATGGTCCCTGGCTATGGAGCTCAGATTCTATAGGAAGAGACAGTTACGTAAACATGTAATTTACACTTCAGCATGGCAAGTGCTAGAGTAAAAGAATATACAAAATGTGGTGAAAGCCAAAAACGACCTGGTCTGCTTCACCAGGAAAAATAAGGAGGGCTTCACGGAGGAGGTGGCAAGTGAGTTACAACTAACACCTGAAGACATGGAGTCCAGAATTCATACTTGAACATCACCCTCAACCAAATAAACAAATTTCAAAGTATGATTGAAAGTCAAAGCTCACTTGATTTGTTTTGTTTACGCTTGGGGCTGCCAATGGACGCTGCAAATTCACTATGGCTCGCGGGTCCGATTCCATTTCGTTCTCTCCAGTTATCAGATTCGCTTCCACTTCCCAAGTGCTCACGACTGTTGGACCTCGAGAGGGACATCGATGAGCCCTGTAAGCAATCAAAGCCAGATAAGGACACGTTTAATAAGGTGGGTTTCCTGGGGCGGGCGGGGAGAAGAATCCCCATTAGAATCGCCGCCGTCTACTTCAATTGCTAACCACTGCAGTCGCCCACGAATGCTGATTCTCGGGAAGAGGCTGTGGGGCCTGTCTGTATCCTTTGTCTTCCAGCCACCAAGGACTTGGTAATACACACAGTGAAGAACTGTCCTTCATCAGGAGGGTGCCCAGCAGAGTTCTGAGAGTCCTCGGTATAAAGACTTAACTCCTGTAAGAATCTATAAGATTCTCTGCCTTGTATCACACAAGAAGGACCAGGAATGGGTGGACCCAATGTCTGGACAAGAGTCAGGTCCCAGGCTAATCAAGTCGGAGAGGGGAGAGCGATCTGGTATTTTTCCGGTGCTGGCCTCATCTACATAGGATCTCTCCAGCAAATTACAAATACCTGGAAAATCTTACCTAATTTCATTTCCCCAAATCAAAATCATAAGATGTCACAGTGTGCACTGAATTTGCATGTACTCATTCCTTATTTATGTAATCACCATGTTACAGACACCTTACTTTGCACTACATCTAGAGATTAAAGTCAAGATTCTCTGGTTTTCAGAGTTTTATGTTAGCTGGGGAATTCCAAGAGAATCCTTGACTGTTTGCTTCCATAATCTCACTGAACTCAGTCTCATGGCACCGTCACCACAGCCGGGCCACGCCCTCCTTTCACGCTCCCCTCTTCAGGGCATCAGGACACCACAGTCCCCAGGTTTTCCACCTGCCTCACTGTAGCTTTGGAGGTTCTTCCTCCCCTTTTCCACTACAAATGTCTTATTACCCTGGGCTTGATCCTAGCCTGCCTTCTCTTCTTTCTCCACCCTCTAATTCAGTAATCTCAACCTCTTTCAAGGCTTAACAACATCCATGGCTCCCAATTTTTACCTCCGGATTTGACTTTCCTGTTCAAATTTAGTATCACGGAGTTGCCAATCTGACACCTCCACGTTACTGTCTCACAGACATTTTAAGTTTAGAGTGCTCAAAATCGAACTGTATACCTGTCCCCACCAGCTACACCCACACCTACTCCTCTCTTAGAATTTCTACATCACGGTAAGTGACTCTCCCATTCACTCAGTTGCTCAAGTCACCCTCAGGCCTCCTACCTTCACCACAACCAATCCATCGGCAAGTTCTACTGATGTCATCTCTAAACATACCCCCAGTTGTGGAAATCTCTCCATTTCCACAACTGTCACCAGTAGCTTCCTTAATGAACATTCCAAGCTCTTGGTTTTCTTCAGGGTAAAGTTCTCCAGTGGAAATAACAGGAACTGCTAAACATTACTCAGAACTTACCGTACACCGTGCTACGCCCTGGATGTCCTCTCCCATGTCACTCAAAACAACTCAAGTGAGAGAACAGGCTCAGAGGAGAGGAGTCACTCATCAAAGCTGACCGTCTATCAATGGTGCTGGTCAAACCCCACAGCACTGAGCTTGACTATATTACTAGAATGACCATCATTTCAAACTGTCAAACTGCTGGTCTTTGAGAACAGAACTGAATTAGCATTTCTACAGTAAAATAGTTCATCTCTGAAAGTAAAAAAACACAGTCAACCACTTAACACTCCACTCTATCAAAGGCAAAGATGAGTAAAATGGACGTGACTGTAGGTGCATCAGCTGAAAGAATTAGCACAGCAGTTTTAAGGTCTCTGCCAACAAAAGGAGATGTTTAGCTTCTCTAAGCTACAATGGCAGAGAGAGGAGTGTACCTCCTAGAGGCTCAAAACTTTTCAAGCGGTTCCTCCACTCTAGCTGCTGACAGTAACTTCAGTCTTTAAATACGGCCTGCCAGGTTGCTACTGTAGGTCCCAATGAAACTCACAGGAGACTGAGCCTTTTGTATTTCAACAATATTTTCTTTTTCACTTAAAGAGGCAAAGGGAAAAAAATGCACATTTACTTTTACCAACTTCATCAACAGTCTAATTTAATACAAAGAAAACAGGTAGAGAAAAGAAGGTCAGCCTACAAATGCCAGTGATTAGACTAACAATTGTGAAACCCTTCACCAGTATTTGTTTTTCAGTCTGCAGTGTTCTGGTTGAACATTGTGATTCTTGGATCGGTCATTTTCATCCATGTTTGGGTTTGCTCAGTGTCCCCAGCCTCCCCAGTGTTGTGTGTGCCTGTGTGCATGCTCTTACTTCACCCCCACTCACAAAGGGCTTATGGCCAAAATCTGATACTCAAACTGAAAAGTCCTTGCTGAGTGAGTCATGGGTAGCCTGGCTGGGGAGCAGGGAACTCTGGATCCCTCCTCCATGTGGTGCGGATGCCAGCTTCCCAGTCCCACTCTGAGCAGTTCAGCCAACATCTGGGACACATAAAATTTTGGAGCTCTTGTTTGTGACACTTCCTGCTGTGTTCCTGGCACAACTGAACACACTGAATTTTTAACTCATATCTGAAAACTTGTTTTTATTGAATATTTGCCCTTTCCCCCTATGGTGGGCTTGCTAGTGATACCCCTGAATAAAAGGATTCTTTATACATTTTATGGAATATTACAACATCTGTCCTTCACTTAATCTCAGCCTTGCTCTAGCATTTCTGACACTCTCCCTCTAAACACATTTATGAATGTGCATCTCCATAACAGCTGATCAACATCTCTGAGAGAAGATATGTAAAAGAGCATATGTTAGATTGCATCAATTTTATAGCAAAATGTTTATAAGAATAGAAATTAAAACAAATCCCCATTAATGACTTTTCCTTAAGCAAATAAAGAATGGGAGGGGAGAGATGATTGCTCTCTTGCTGGGACTACAGACAGGGAGAATGGGAAGGGACGACTCTACAAACCTCAAAAGTGGTTGTCATCGTGGGCTTATAAGACACATGGTTGGCCCTCCTCAGCTCCTTGATGGTTTCAGCGGGCATGGATTTAGAAAACCCAAGGCCACTCCAGGTATTTGTAGGCGTTCTGACCTCCGTCACCACTGGTTTCTTTAACATAGCTTTGGAAAACAATATAAAACAAATGCATGATATTTTGAATATATTTCTTAAAATATTGATGCGAGTTGTTCCTTTGATATATGTAAAGAAACCATAACTGAATATTTCTTAACACAAAATGCCTTAAAATATCTTCATCAAACATTTTATACAAATTTTAAAATTCTACATTTCATATTTGATGTAATGCTAATCTATTCAATAAAATATATTCAAGCTGAACAAAACTTGTGCAAATTTGAACCTAAACATTTTTTTAATGAAGGTCCAATTTCACAATTCGGTGTGATTATGGGAAAACCTTTTGTGGGTATATGGGGAGAAAAATCAAGGTCTAGATCCTTAACATATCACATACCTTTGGTTGCTAATAGCTTCTTCTGTTCATAGTCAAATGCCTGAAAATAAAACAGAGAAAAGATTTTATTGCCAGTTTATCCAAACGTCATGCCAATATTCCACGATTAGAAAATAAAGGTTTTTTCACTACAGCCCGTGAATCTGCCTGCTAAGCTTTGCACCATAGTGTGCCATTAATTCAGTACAAGTCTGATCAATTTAAACATGTGCTTCCAAATAATGCATTACGAAAATGCTTTCAGGTTATCAAGTGGCCTCATTTGTTTCTCAACATACCCTCTCAAAGCATGGCCTGAAGTGGTGTAATGTCCAGACAACCAAAGAAATTATTTAGCCTAACTGGAATGGTCTTTGCTTTTGAAATGAGATAAATGGCAAATGTCTGGCTTGAAGCTACAATAACAGCGACAATAAAATAAAAGTAAATCTAGTTGCCTTGTATTGCACAGGACTGGGATGGCACTATACACTCTTTCCATTCATGTTGAATAAGTTTCATGACACAGGTCTACACAGAAACCAAGATAGGACATTCTGAAGAAAACACCTGTCTCAAATGTTGACCCAGTGTTCTCAGCTGCCCAGGTTAGGGACTAGCTAAAGCTTGATTTAACAGTGTCTTAAAGGCCAGCCAGGAGGGTTGAGAACCACTTAGCACGAGCTCTCCTGACCCTTTTCCCAGGAGGACTATATCATCATATGTGGGGTGCATGCCCAGGTAACTTACAGTCTGAAACAGGACACTTCTGAGAGTGATTGTGCCACAAATAATAATTAAGTCGGGATAATACAAGTAAACAGGCTGACCCAGAAACACCAGGATGTGTGATTAACTCTGAGAGCATGAGCAGTAAATCGGGAGAGCAAGATTTTTAGAGAACACAATTCGATAATGTTTTTGAAAGGTTAGGTCTAAAATGGCATTAGAAATTAAAATCAACTTTTAATGATCAATGTCTAAGGGCAAGATGTGGGGAGATCCTAAATTCACTTGTTCAATAAATACTTATTGAGTGCCTCTGGTTAGAGACTGTGAGGCATTTTGTGGAGGGATATAGCAGTTAATCGAAAATAATCTATAGCCTCAAAGCATGTGGTCTTAGCAGGGATGGGTCAAAGAAATAACTACAAAATAAATCAGGAGGTGAGGTAAGTGTGAAGAGAGCTGGGGATACGGCCCTCCAAGGACAGTCGGGAGACAGGATTCTTAGCTGAAGGAATCAGGGAAGTCTTCAATCTCTCTCCCTGTCAGTGCTCAGTGACTTTTGTCATTGATTTCTTAGTGACTTTACAAAACAGCTCTCTACTAATGGCACAAACACACCTATTTAAGTCCCAACTGTATCACCAAGAACATTCCTTATCCACCCTAAAAGAAACATGAAAATGGTTCATTCTAGGTATAAAACGGATGGGAAAGATAAGAACCACAGGATGGGCAGAAGCTAAAAAGGGATCATAAAGCAGATCTGATACTTCTGAGAGAATTTTAATTTATATTAACGGAAAATAAACCCACCAGAGAAAATATATCAAATATCTTTTTTTCTTTTTTTAAACATTGACACTTTATAAAGGCCATGGCCTTGTAAAGACTCATCTAAAAACTCATGGAAATGTTCAAATGCAAAGGATTAAAAGAACAGATAAGCAGGACTGAACTGTAGTTTTTGCTAGAATTATAGAAGTATAATTTAGTTCCATGAATTTCTTTGCATATCTGCGACAGCTTTGTTTCTAGGATTTTGTGAAAAGTTTTTCTTGCCCTAGCAGGTTTGGCTCAATGGTTAGAGCGTCGGCCCATGGACTGAAGGTCCCGGGTTTGATTCTGGCCAAGGGCATGCACCTCGGTCACAGGCTCCATCCCTGCCGGGTCTCGGGGTGTGTGGGAGGCAACCAATCAATGTCTCTCTCTCCCTTCCACCCTCTCTGAAAAGCAATGGGAAAAATATCCTTAGGTGAGGATTAAAAAAAAACAATTTTTTTTTTAAGTTTTTCTCTTTTTTTGGAGGTGGGGGCATGGGGATGACAAGCCTGTTACTGTGAAGTGGGTAAGTCACCCAGTGTCCTGATACTGAAATCAAATGTTTACAGGAATCTCTAAAAGTACAAAGTCCTTATCTTTCACGTTGTCATCTATGTGGAAATCAGGTTTCTGAATTTCATGGTGAATAGCCTATTTTGAGTAATAGCTGGCCCAAAACTTTGAAAATAGATATAGAGAAAATATCTGCTGAGGAAATTGTTTAAAATAGTCATAAAAATCTGTGAACCAATATAATCACCAATAATAGTTATCATCTACTTAAAAAAAAACAAAACCTCAAGCTTCATATTAGCTATTTTTATAACTGTCTAAATGACACCAAACAAATTTATCATTTCCATTTTATAGAGAGAAGGCTAGTCTGTTTATCCAAGACTATGTCATGAGGCCATAATACTTAGAAATAACAGCTCTGATATTTATCTAAAATTTTATAAAACAACAGATGAAGTGTCATTTATATAACACATAGTGACACAGACCATTTATGTCATTTTTCATATTTTAAAGAACTTAACCACTTAAGCTAAATCCTGCATTTCATTTTTAAAGTTCATAGCAAAACCAATTCCTAACTACGGCATATATATTTAAATTTAATTTTGACTAGAAAACAGAAAACCCGATTCTGCTCTACTGTTAAAGCTCAATGACTCCACCACGTACTCGCCCGTTACCTGCATGTTGACGTACGAGGGCCGCGAGGCCAGGCGGGCCCTCTCGGAGTTCTGCTGGGCGGCCGCGGCCCTCTCTGCGGCCCGCTCGCTCCCCGGAGCCTTCTTGTCAGCCAGAGGGCTTTCCGCAGCGCTCAGCTCAGGATCTGAGAGCAGCCTGTCAGTGCTGCTGTGAAGAGAGTTTGGGATTTAACACTCCACTGTCGTCCACAACTGTACTGAATATTTCCTGTGTGCCACATGCACTCTGTATGTTAACCACTGTCAACTATGAATATGCATTATCTCATTTAATCCTCACAACACCTCTGCTGTTATTCCCATTTTACAGAAGACAAGTACCTTGTCCAAGGTCATACCTCTGGTAAATTAATGGTAGAACTGGAATTTGAAACCAGGCATACTGACTCTAAGAGCCAGAGCTGAAACTATTTCCTGACATATAGTCACACACATTATATATAGTATATATAGCATATGGTTAGTGGTACATATGGAATAGACACACAGAAAAGATTTCTAATTGGTACACATCAAGGAGGTACCAATGACCATGCATACACAGTCTGAACAGGATGAGTTGATCTGAAAGCATGTACATGACCCAGTTCATGTGTGTGAACTGTATATGATACTGCTAACAAATCTGTGATAAAGGTGGCAGATAAATAAGAAATGTTCTACAACACCTGTTTAGGGTGTATGAGAAGAGCATGAAAGCGCTTCTTAAATGGGGAACAATGAACTGAATTACAAGAATTGATAATACCCTATAGGTGCACCTCAAGTTCAAATCCAACTGCATGTTAAGCTCAAATACAAGAGAAATAAGAAACAGTATTAGTCAAAGAGCTGATATATTCATTCGTTCTTTTATCATTTCCTAAGCTAAGGAAATTGAAGTTTAAAAAAGGGCTGTTGGAAACAAAAGAAGGAGCGATGAACTTTGTTTGCTTGACAAAAGTTCACGGAGGTTTCACAGAGGACATTTAAACTGGAATTTAAAGGGCATCTGCAGGTTCACCAGGGCAAATGCCCAGGAGAAGAGCAACCAGGAGTGTCCAGCATAAGCAAAGGAAAGGAAGTGCACAAAGTGGATTGTTGGTGGTTTTAAAGTCAGAGTGTGCTAAGATCAGAATCATGTTTTCAAAATAATTACTGGAACAAAATAAAGGACCGACTGTGCTGATGAGAGACTGGAGGCAGGGAGACCATTCTGGAGGGTGCAGCTTAATTCAGATGAGAAATAATGTTAAGTTCACACCACATCTGATAAAAGGAATCAGTATATACTTCAAATGGTTCGATACAGACAAAAAGCAAAATCATCTCCCTAATCTTTAGTAAATAATGCTAATTGGTAAGAGTATTAGTACCATGTAAAGAAAAACACAGATAAAACAAATTTGGACAAAATAGGAACAATAGTAACCCATCAACCGAAGAGTTTATAAATGCAAATCCGACTGTGGTAAGAAAAAGAGAAAAATGTATATGCTATTATTTGTCTATAGACATGCTAACTCTGTAAGGACATACAGTTAACCCTTGAACAACATGGGTTTGAACAACATGGGCTCACTTATATGCAGATTGTTTTCAATAATTATACAGGCAGCCCACCATATCCCTGGGTTTCACATCCCCAGACTCAACCAACGACTGATGGAAAACAATATTTTCAATCCCTGGTTGGGAATTTCCAGATGCAGAGAGCCGACGGTATGCATCATTCTATGCCATTTACTATGAGGGACTTGGGCACTTGTGGATTTGGGTCTATCAGGGGCCTTGGAACCATCAATCCTTCATAGATACCGAGAGATAGCTGTGATTAAGGTTTGGGGAAGTCAAAGTTAGACGTGGATTTTTGACTGCGCAGGGGGTCAGTGCCCCTAACCCCCACATTGTTCAAAGGCCAACTGTACAAGAAAACTAGTAAGACAGTAGAGAAAACTGGGAAGACAGAGATGGATGGGGGCAAAACCTTTCAATACAGAAGTGTTCCGTTGTCTGTCTTTTAAAAAACATGGGCTGCCTATTTGAAACAAGACAAGAAAAATAAAATAAGGAAAACACATTTGTAACTGCCCTATGGTACAGGCGAGCTATACTTAATACAACATATGTACTTATAGTCACCGTGATTTGTAATAAATGAGATCCTGATGCTGTCAAGTACTTATTACCAAAGTGAGCAGTTAAGTTCCTGGAAAGTTAGAAATTCAAAGGCAAATGAAACAGAATTCACAGCAGGAAAATAAAAAATTGCCTTGCTGAATACAGAAGAGCAGAGAGAACGTTAAAAGTTTCAGAGCAATAGAGAGAATTTAGAGGACCCAGATATAAACCCAAGGTTTATGAAGAGGAGAAAACTTTAGCTGAGAAATAAGAGAATTACCAGATATTATTCCTTAACATTTTTACCCACAAAAACATCACTAAGGTTGAAATGGAATACTACTCTGCCATAAAAAGATGAAATTCTGCCCTTTGCAAAAACATGGATGGGCCTGGAGGGTATTATGCTAAGTGAAATAAGATGGAAAAAGACAAATATATCATTTCACTCATGTGTGAAATACAAAAACAAAACACACAAAATGAAAAACAAAAACGTATTCATAGAGGCAGACAACAGATCTGGGGTTACCAGGGGAAGTGGAGTGGAGGAGAGGCAGAATGGGTAAGGGAGTCAACTGTATGGTGACAGATGGAAAATGGACTTTGGGTTGTGGGCATGATGTAGTATAAAAAGATGTCAAATTATAATGTGGCATAACCCTAACTTGCATGTTATGAACTAATGTCACTTCAATAAAAATTATTTTAAAGAGGAAAATGTGTAACTATAAAGAAAAATGAAAAAAACTCATGGATAAGACCAAACTCATTGCAACCAAAGAGCACTCACTGCTGAACAAATCCACTTTTGTTCCCCTAACTTAAATCCAGCTTGTTATACAGTTTCTTTCGAAGCATCCAGGGCTTTTCAGGATGAAAATACCTACTGTAAGTGGGAGTTTTTCGTGCCGTGCAGCAGCTCCACTGTCTGCCTCTTGGCGCAGGAAACTTTGGAGGGACCCAGCATCTGCTTTAAGTCGCCAGCATTCCCAGAATGGGAAGGACTCCGAGGCATGCCCACCTCAACAAAAGCATCATTGCCACCTGCAGAGAAGAGGAAAAGGGAAAATCCAAACATCAGTGTACCATCAACAATCCCCTGCAAGGGAAACAAACCAGAATCCAGCTCTGGGGAGACACGGACATACAGCTTTCAGCTGCAGAGACAACCCCTGAACATGTTCAGGCTGCCTCAAAAACTCAAGATGAAACATGAAGAGAAGACCCTCATATTTTTTAAAGACTGTTGGGGATGAAAGGGTTAAAAAAATATATACTCTACTTAGGGAAAAGTACACAAACATAGTAAGTTGATGCTTTCCTGCTGCACAATTACATTCCCTTTAATTTAGGAAGTTCTGGTGTAATGGGAAAATGATTGTAAGAGTTTGTCTGCTTTTCAGTTTATCATTCACCATGTTCTTTGGAATTTCATTCAAGATGTTGTCTTTCTGTGTACTTAAAGCAGGATGAGTTACAACTGGTTAGCGAAATCAACTCAAAATCACTGCATGGACTTCCTACAACCCCCTTTATCCAAGTAAAAGACTTGACTAAAGTTCAGAGGGAAGGTACCTTCTGCAGGGTTTGATTTGGAAGATGCCTGCTCAGATCCACTCGTTTGTCTGGAAGGGTCCCCATGATTCGCACTCAGCACTTTTTCTCCAAGGGATGAAGTGGATATTACACCATACTTTATATTCGGAGGCTGAAATAATAGAAAATAACATACGATCACAAGTCTAAAATTCATTCCATCTGAAAGTTTTATTGGTGGCTCATCTCTTACAGATCACAGATCACATCATCTCATCTGAAGGTCATTACCTGTGCATGTCCATTTAAAGAAGCAGAGATTTTCTTGCCTTCTGTCTGCATACTGTTGATGTGGACATCGACAGGAGTCAAGCCGGGAGGGGGAGACGGAGCTGTGTGCCCATAGGCGGGCACTCCAGACAGCAAAATATTGGTTAGTGTGGCTTGGGCAGTAGATGGAATCATAAGGTGTGGCACAGCAGAAAAACCTAGGACAACATTTCATGAAGACATATATTAGACAGGAAAAAACTCAGAATCAACAAGCATTATATTATTTTCAGTAACACCAGAAAAACATCATTTTTGTTGCTGCAAATTCAGAAGAGAATTCAATTTTGATACCTCTCCACGAATAGGTTTAACTACACAAAAGAATGTTAAAATGGAACAGCACTAGCGAATATTTAATCCAAGCTCCTCCTGTACAGGTGAAGAGACAAGCTAAACTTAGCATGTGCACGTGACTACCAAGCAATTCTGACTCTCCAACTAGAACCTACATTTCCTGACCATCAGGGCAGTGACCGACGTGTGACTCTGCTGCTGTTCCCTGCATATCATGCTCTTTTCCCTGAGCTGCTTGTCACGTTTGAAGATTATATTTTACTTTTATGGAAACTCACTGCTTTGTTGTGCATCATTTTAACTACACATTAGGAAATTTCTGTTGCTGCAGTATGCTTTGAGGCAGAATTTTTCCCTAAGGACATGGAACCACTGGTAAATTTTATTTAAAAACTGGTAATACCTACAAAGACATGCCTTTGATTGTACTTAGATACTGACCTGTGGCACTTGAAGTATTAGCAAGTGGGGGTGCCCACAACGTGGGGCTGGGGGTGCCGGAACTTGGACTTTGCAAAGGACTGACGGAGCTATTAAGAGCATTCAAGAGTGAGTTCGGGGTTGTCGAAGTGTTTAGAGATAAGGTGGTTGGGCCCAAAAGACCTGTAATAAATGAATGTAGAGTCAATATGCATAAATTCAAGATTTTAAAATGGCACCAAATACTGCCATTTGGAATGCACGTTGATATAATCTGATATTTTCTAAATATAAAATGTGATAGATTACCTTCTTTCAAATATTCCCACGAAATACTGCATGATACAATTCAACACAGGACTCAGCTTATCCACAAACATGCTGATGGGAAAATGGGAGACAGGTGTGTGCCCAAACCGGGAAAGCAGTCGGGGTCATTGAGCACTGCCAGCTGCTTTGCATTCATTTCACTGGCCAAGATGAACAAAATTCTGCTCAAGTGGAAACCCATTTTTATTTCCCTGCGTAACTCAGTTGTCATATGCTTTCAAACAAATGTTTCAAACCACTTAAATTAGCAATGACTAAGGGAATGTTTTCCTGCAATGGAATAGCTCCATTTGGCCCACTGCAGACGGGCTTAGCTACCTGCAACAGTTTTCATAGTATGTCAAAGCACATACATGACTTCTTTGCACTCCATCTCAATGCATATGAAAACTTTTCTCAAGAGAAAAATTTTTATTTTTCCCTTGTTGTAAGGATTTAATGCCTGACTTTGGTAATGAAATTTTCCTCCTGGCATTTAAAACGTGTTCTGAAGTAAAATGTGGATTTTTATACACGTTTCCAGGAATACTTAAAGCATCAGGTATTACAGGATAGGGATAGCCAGGACAACATTTTAAAAATTGAGTAACTATGACTCTCCGCTCACTTTTTTTCTCTCTAGTACAGCACGAACTCAGTTCCTGCTAAGATATATGAGTGGCATTTCCAGATGTGTTGCTGGGTGGTTACAACTGTTCAAACCTCCAGTGGAAGGGACAACTCTGGGAGATTGTGGGCCAAGGAGAAAAAAATCTGCCTTTACTGCAATGGTGCCTAAGCAAGGATGCTTGGGGTATTAATCATATATTTTAAACATGTTGTTTTTTTAAGCAAGAATAGCCATTAGAAAAAATTAAAGGCTGCTGAGGGTGTATTTTCTGTCTCAAATCAACACTGAATGGGGCAGAATGGTTTCCTAGGATTACTGCATTGACTTTTTATATAAAGGCTACTGAGAAAAATGTACCAGATAGAAGTGAACCTAGCATAATTTAATACAGCAACTAACTTCAGCCTGTGAGATGGGAATCCACAATGAGGCAATAGATATCACCATGACTATTAAAGCGGTTCGCTCTCTTATCTTGGAAAACTGAAGCACTGAGACGGCGATGTTCTTTCATCTTCCTGTTCTTTGCCTTAGCCGTGGACACAGGTCCATTCGTTAGCCTTGGTGGCCGCAGGCAAGGTTTCCTTTGTGCTTTGTGTCTGAGGAGCAAAGCAGGCTAACCACTGGGGGGGCG